GCATGTTTCTGCAAAAATGAGTCCGCGACTCTTCCGCGATGGGTCCGCGCTTCCGCTCAGCTCTCCGCTATGCTTCCGCTGTCTTCCGATATGACCATCACACGTGAGGGCGCAGGATCTTATCACACCATGCATGATGACCAATTATCTACTACAAGATGAAAAAATTGCGTGGGTACAATATATGATAGTGAGCGGTCGGTTTGCCTTTGCATGAAAGTTTGAACAAATTCAAGCCATCGAGCTGCAACCAATCCAAGTATACGAAATTGCTAGCGGCATGGCTTCAAAATGAATCCATAACACCAATAATACGAAACTTCCATCAGCGACATGAAACACATACATACCGGTTATTGATTGATTTCATCGGCGAGTCTTACTATGGCAGTTGAATGCATAGGACCTCTTGATAAGCTAGATGGCCATGTAGCTTTTGACCGATTATTGGAGAAGTGCAAGCCCAAGATGGACGTGGCACCGGCAAATCACTGTAGCGGAACACGTGCATACCACCACCGAACACACTTGAGCCATTGCGGAGGCTGCCACGGAGGCACTGCCATTGACCCATTTTGGAAAGGACAGAGGCCTATTCGGGGCCCGCGCACAGAGACGACATGCAGGCCTAGGATCTCGCCAAATACCTCTACGCCGTGATGCATCATCAAGGGCAAGGACCCGGCCCGGCCGGGAGGAGTGGTAGACAGTTTCATCTAGCATAAAACATCACCCACGGCCGTTGATCAGATTAGCATCACCGCGCCGTAGTCGTTTGTACAGCTTACAATCAAGTCATTGGCCGGGAAGTTCATACCACCACATGTACACATGATCTAACATGATGGTAACTTCCAATTTATTAACGCCCAATTAGCCGCCATGGCCGTGGAGCACGGTCTCCGGCATACCCGGGATAGTTTGTTGACTCTGCAGCTTGCTACGGCTGCAAGTCATGTCCCTTGTTCTCTATTCTGAAGCTGGTCCAGTGGACATGATTCGGGGTCGTTTAAGGCATGCAGAATCATAACCGCGAATGTAGTGACTTCGGAGTCCCACCGAAGCGTTGCCGTATGGGCCATGGCGATCAGGGTTCGTAACAGCTCCGCCAAATGACCGTTTGTCGACGCAAACTTTGGGCGTTGCGGATGAAAAAGATGAGACGTCAAAGCCCGCTACTAAGAAATTGGACCAGCGGCCTGCAAAGTGGGCACGCTTTGGCAATCAGAGCACCATGCAACGCAGAAACAGTAGCTCATGGAAGGTTCCAAGGCTGGTCTTCGGGTGAGAATATTGTGGCACAACATATGGCTATGTAGTACGTTGAGCAAATTCATGTCAGGCATATTGTCAATCATGATTGCATTGAATATATGTGGGAAATGATTCACCATCCATTCAAACTCATAGAAATGCGTCCCGCATGCAAGCAACATCAGACGTGTCTTTCTGATGTCAGCAACGAGCTTGAGCTGTTGAGCCATGACCGTATAATTGTGTCGGACAACAGTGGGACCCTGGTTTATGATTCGACTTTGCAGAATGCCATGTACACAAACATTCACATTGGGATGTACATAGTAGGTTGGATTAACACGGTATGCTTTGTAGACTATCAGGGGGCCAGGGCAGTCAAGGGAAGAACATCAATGCATCCAGCTCTAACTTAAGATCAAATTTTAATGAATCAAGCAGAAGACCGCTTCAAGCTCCAATGGAAGTTTGCCAAGAGTGTTGTTACTGGTGAGGGCAAGGAAACACTAGGGATATTCCCTCCTAACAAACTCCCAAGATTGACGTGGCAGAACCGAGCTGGTTTTGTAGAAGCAAATAGATGAGTCAGCTTTGACAAGCGCAGTTTTTTGAACAAACTCCCTGCCAGAAACCTGTGCTTCAAGCAAGATCACTGATGCGACCGGTCTACCAGACATAAAGTTCCGTCTCGGGTTCAAAGGCAACCTTTAACTCTTGAGGCGTCAGATGATGGTAAAATCACAACAAAAGAACATCAGGACATTCATAGTCTGCAACCTTCAAAGTCTGTTACACTTCGCATTTGCAACACAAGATAGCAAAGTCCAAATCGACTCGAGATGATCCTAGTCAAGGAGTAACGTTGCTCCTTGACTAGAGTCTCCCATCCAGTCAGATTGCACGTACTGGAGGATCTATTAACACTCAACTTAGACAGCTCGCAACCATAGCAGTAGGCGACCTTTCACAGCTTTAAGGCCAAGCTTGATTGAGAATTCACAGGTGGAAAGATGGCTTTGCAAAAGAAGCATTTTCTACCGCCTCAGCGCGGTATTCTCACCTTCGGGGCTTTTTGCTGCCCAACTTATCGCAAAGCTGTGTACAAAGAGAGTCGCTGGCCGCTGCTGGTTGATGCAATCCAGAATTTTTAGGGTGTCCCAAGAGTTCAGCTCTGGCAGAGACAGGGCCCGCAAGCAAGGAATGCAAGGTCAGGACTGATCTGCGAGCAAGTCCAGCGCCCAAAATCCAGAATAAGTTTGTGCAGTACGCCAGAATTGTCTGGAGATATGCCTGCATGTGGCAATGCTGATTGAACAACGTGGACCCACCTTGCCCTATCAATTGGTTTCCTGGGATAAGCTAAGCCGACCGATCACCCTTCACACTAAGCTTTTGGCTCGCTGCACCTCATACCATCACCTACTTTGCCATCATCATTTTCACAAACTCCTCGTAATTCACTTGCCCATCTCCATCCACATCTGCTTCCCTGATCATTTCATCAACCTCTTCGTCCGTGAGCTTCTCCCCCAAGTTGGTCATTACATGCCGCAGCTGCACAAAAAGCAATCAATCACTTTTGACATTTACCAACTCGGAGATAATCTTCCCACGAGGTCACAAAGCTGAGCGACCCTCACCTAGGATGAAAGCCTTTTCTCCAGAAATTTCTCGAATCATGGTTCACCAAGTCGAAGGGCCACTCCGTGCTTTCATTATTGCTGAATTAGGGTTATTCACATCCAGTATTCATGCCTTACCTCAGCTGCTGAGATGAAGCCATTCTGATCTTTGTCAAAGACCTTGAAGGCTTCTTTCAACTCCTCCTCTGAGTCCGTGTCCTGCATTGAGAAACATTCGGATTCGATTGTGCTGTACATCCGTGCATATGATCTGCAGCTGTGCCAAGCACTCTACAAGCACCAAGGACAGACAACTGTCTTTCAAAACATGCAGGGCAAACATCTGAAGATCCAGCACACATTGCAAGCTAGCAGCTGCCGCCAAAGGTGCACGCAGAGTGCCAATTTTTCATGCTGCACAATACTCATTAAGCTGCTGAAGAGGAGCCTGATTGCAAAAAGCATATCTGACCTTCATCTTCCTCGCCATCAGGTTCAAGAACTCGGGAAAATCGATAGTTCCATTCCCATCCGCATCCACTTCGTTAATCATATCCTGAAGCTCTGCCTCTGTAGGATTCTGCCCCAGTGACCGCATGACAGTGCCGAGCTCCTTTGTGGTGATGCTACCTGCAGACGGCAGCCAGCTTCAATAACAAACTCTCAGGAGGGCCAGAACAGGTGCAGCAGGCTGGATAGGTAAGGCGACAGCCAGGAGCAGAGATGGCTGTGAAAAGAGAGTGCTTACCATCACCATCCTTGTCAAAGAGGCTGAATGCCTCCTTGAACTCTGCAATCTGCTCCTCAGAAAGTTGATCAGCCATCTTCCCCTACTCCGCTTTGCAGAATGCCAAAGACAAGCCTACGCAATCGTGCAAGTCGCCCGCGCCAGATGGATCCTGAGAAGAAGGTGTTGAAGCAACACAAGCTGACTGACAGAGAGAGGCTTGCTCCCAAATCGCCCTGCAAATTGCAAGTGGTGTTTCTCTTCGCGGACGAGCGGAGGGGCAGACGAGCAGGTAGCGGCTAGCCTGCCGTAGGCAATTACGGTACCCACCTACCTACCTACCTACGGTACTAGGTACGGTATCTAGGTACCTATAGCAGCAACAGATGATAGGTAGGGTACCGTAGATCCCTTGTCTGTGTGATCAGAATGCAGCGTGCTGCATCTGCATGTGTTGTTCAGCAGTGTGCTCACGGTGCGGTATGTACCGTTTCTCATGCTTACAAGTTACACCCATGCTTTAAGGTACCGTACCGTACCTACCTTACTCTGTACTTAGGCTAAGTCGTACAAGGAGGAAGAAAAACTGGTACCAAAGAGATCAAAACAGGTGGGTAGGTAGGTACCGTACGGAGCCCTGGGCTGCGGGCCGCCAGGCCCTACACCTTGCTGGGACCACGTGGCTAAAAAAACCTCCAAGCGGTGCGTACCGTGCCTTCCAAAATGAGATACCTATACCTAGGTACCGTAGGTACCTAGGTAGTACGGTAGGCGATATAAGGTACCTAGGTACCTACCTAGTGCGTGTACCGGTACTGTACTGGACCTCGGTGCTTCACAACGCAGCAGTGAGCACCCATGAGCACCCGCTGGGTTAGTACCGCATGTAGGTACAGTACTTGCAGGCCGTACGGTACCCAAGTCGGTACCGCTCAGCGCTGGTCTCAGATTTTTGAATTGGATTGCCCTCGAAATTAATTAAACGGTCCAGCTGAAAGATCGGGTACCTAGGTACGTTGCCCGGCACGTGGACGAACTCCCCGGTATGTCAATCTCAAAGGTGGACAGTCCGTCCGTCCCGGTAACGCAGCTGGCAACAAGAACATTGTAACTGCATGCTCGACGCCCCCCGCTTACGTAACGGCTGGTAAGCTTTTTGGTCGCCCTACCAGAGTCGTGGTGGGACCCGGAGGACATGATCACCCCTCGGGGACGCGGTTTCTCATGTACCCGGTGTTTGGAAAAGCGATGAGCCCTCGGATAGCGAAACTGGTACCTCGATTGAGCAGATACCGGTGGGCACACTGCGTAATTTGAACACCGGTACCAAGTAGCCCTCTAGTGTCAATAGCAAGTACATAGCCGAGGCAGGTACCTACCGGCCTTTTCTCATTGGCCAAAGCTCCGAAGGCAATTGCAAATTAAATATGTGATGAGTGAATGCCACATTGACACTTTGATAGGAAACCGCATGTAGCGGTGTAGCGGACTCGTACTATCATGATCTTCCATGCAAGAGCTTCATCCTTGCTTCATCCGATTTCTCATCCGATTTCATCGCAATGTAGAGCTAGGACTGGGGACCTAAAACTGTAGCTACGGTACACGTGACTTCCGAAGTACTTTCTTTCAGGTCTTTTCCCGTTCTTTTTTCTCTTTGTTTCTCGACACCCTTTTGACAGTATGGCTAGCATCATGTCAAAACATTTCTCGGGGATTCTAGAAATCCAATCCTGGGACTTATGACAAGGTTGGTAGCCGCAGCAACTAGTGACTCGTTCCACCCTTGGATGTGCACCAAACCGCCCGTCATGGGGCAGTTGCATAGCAAAGTAGTGACGCAAATCGTCGACCCGGTGAGGATGTCCGGAGCACCGATGGTGTACTCAGAGCAAGCACTCATCCACGTACTCGGATGCTTATCACTGCGTTCTCATGTCACCCCAGCTGCGGCTCCGGGCAGTGGGTCCGTTGAATGCTGGCTGCTGTGGTCCAGCGGACGCTGCGCCTCCAGCTGACGCAAGCTCTCAAATAGGCCGATGCCCACGCTGACCGACAGGTTGAGGGAGCGCACATGCCGCTCGCTCATCGGAATACGCACCAGGGCGCCCTCTCGACTAATAGCCCCTACAGCCGCTTCGGGAAAGCCTTGGGTCTCACTGCCAAAGAGGAGCCAGTCGCTCTCGCGGTACTTGACATCCGTGTACAGCGTCGTTGCCTTCTTGCTGAAACCAATCAGCCGCTTGGGCCCCGGCTGCATGGAAGTAGAGGGGATCAGGTCGAATAACAGGCTGACAACGAGCAGGTGCAGCACGCAGGAGGCAGTGTTGGGAGGAGCACCAAATCACGAAGTAAATTGGGGTTCGCATATCCAGGGCGGCCGCTGTTTGAAGAGGCCGTAGCGATCCCCTAGATATTAATGCCCATTGCAAGCCATGGCACACTTTTGCGACTGTAATGGCTACAAGAGAGTAGGCTCACAAGAAGCACGGACAGAGATGATGCGGTCAAGTGCTATCGACTTCACATTGCTACCTTGGGCGATGCACAGGTATGACGGGTCTGCTTTAAGGCGAATGGTGAAAGTTCAAACACTGAGATACTCATTCAGCGATGCCCTCAGCAATATAGTACCAACATGGCACTTCATTGACACGGTGAGGCAAGAGAGTGCCTGCATAAGGGACACCATGGCGAGCTGGTTCGACTAGACAGTGCAAAGAGTGTAACTGCCATCTTCTCGCCTGACCGGCGGCCCCCTTTCAAGCCCAAGGTGGGGGAAAGGGCTGGGCGCCCACCTGGGTGTGGTAGTAGTCCATGAACGCAGCCCAGGACGAGTGGACGGCCACGCACACGTAGCTGGAGGGGCAGGGGGGCCGCGTGTCAAGGAAAAACGTGGACAGCAAGGACACCTGAAAGAGGAGCGGGCAGCCGCAGCTGCCTGAGCAGACGCAGACATTCATTCAGCAGACAGTGTATGGAGAGCGTAGGATACGGCCAGTAGTCCAGGCCCGCGCGCTTGAGCTTGGCGTCGTCCAGCTGGAACCCCATGGGCTGCGAGGGGGCAAGGACGGGGGGGCAGCTCAGAGGCAGCATCCCCTGGTTCAGGCACCAGGGGACAACACAAAGCTGATAGAAGCACACACAAGGATGATAGTTGTCCAGACTCTCTGTCAAATTTGCAAAGCACTGGCATCAGCTCTAAGCTGCAGAATGGACAGTGATTGGCTGGGGGCGCTCAGGCTGCCCCCTTGCTCGCCAAGGCGACAACCTTGCCGGGGTCACTGGCAGCTCTTAGATGAATGTGGGACAAAGGTGCGGGGGAGGTACCTCCACCAGGTGCAGGCGCACCCCCGCGGCTGCGCAGGTGCGGGCAATGGAGCCCGCATTGCCTGGAATCTGGGGAAACAGAATGGTAAGGCATCAGCCACAAAGAGGAAGCTAATGCACCGCCACCAATGGCCCGCTCAATCCTCAGTAGCCGGCCAACTGTGCACAGAGGAGGCGCCTGATGTTGCCCCCTGTTGGTGCCCACCACCAGGCAGTCTGAGAAAGGCGGCCCCAGTGGTCCCGGTTCCCTTGATAAGAACGTGCAATGCACCCGGTGCCCCTGCTGAGTGTTACAGCAGGAAGGTGAGGCGGTACGCACGTACTTCAAGCCAGCTGCACTGCATTCAAGGACAGGCAAGATAGTTCCATGATGCTAGAGGGCCCCTACCTGCGGAGAGACCAGCACAACATTGAGAGCGGAGTGAGCCTCGGTGCCCCCCTCCTCAAGCCTCCAGCGCACCTCACTTACGGGGCTGCTGCTGTTACCGCCAGCACCACCACCACTCCCATCGTCACTGGTGCTGCAGCGACAGGGGGGCCCTGCACAAGCAGAGGGGGGCCGCCATCAAGACGTCGCAAGCCAGGGCCAGAAGGGGAGGCTGGGCCAGCCTGTCTCACATATAAGTGCTGCACATGCTGCCTGCAATCTCATTGCACATGCCATGGCGCCAGTGGCTGTAGCTAGCTCTGGTGACCCCTACCCTGAGTAGTGGGCAGTCCGCTCGGCCATGCCCAGCGCTGGCGGGGCTGCAGCTGTTGCGGCGTCAGCCTGGCATGCCGGCACCGCAGGGCAGCCCCCCCAAGTGTGAGCAGCCCCACTCGGTCGGAGCGCAGCTGGCGGGAGGGGGTGCTCAGCACCAGGCTAGTCTCAGCAGGGAGCCAGGAGCCAAGAGTGGACAGGCCCTTGCTTAGAGCAGTGGCGGGCATCGGGGCAGGGAGGAAAGGAGAGGGGCTCAACAGCAGGCAGCTCCGAAAGAGGGGGCCAGCTACTGAGCTAGATGAGTCTGACCACCATTCCTGGATGCTCTCTAAAGTTTTGGAATTCTAGGCGAAGGTAGGATTCTAATTTCTAGGACTCGGAGGTTCAAACTTCCAAGTTCGTCCTGGATCATGATGTGAAGCTAGAACTTTGCAGATCGACAAAGAAACAGCATATTCATGATCATTCCAGCCAGTTATAGCGCTCCAGGTTCTGGATATAGGAAATGGTGAGTTTGGAACGGTGATTTCTGAGTTTGGGCTACTACCGGTAGTACTAGAGGCTAGGTAGGTGCTAGGGTGGCGTGTTTTGAGATGTATAAGCGATATTATAAAAATCCATAAGTCCGCGAAAATCGAGACCATACGCGTGCGCCTTGCACCGATGTTGACTGTAGCAGAGCTCTATGTACAATATTATAATATCACTGATATCAGGCGATCCGTATCCTGCCGGCCTGTTTTCCCATTGCACTTGCAAAGTTGCATGAGCCAAGTTGTGGTGCAACTTCAGGAGGCGATCGTGGTAGGAATCAGAAGAGCTTTGCTCGCGTTCCGTGGCCATGGTGTACCCAAAGCAGCCGCCCCCCCCGGGCGCTGTGGACAGCTTGAAGGACAAGGTGTTGGCGCTGCATGACTACGAGGGCACGTGCGGCCTCTGCCTGGAGCCGTGCGACAGCACTCAAGACGAGCTCAACGCTCTGTCGTGCACCTTTGAGCCGTGCCCCTCGCCGTCTATCTATCATCAGTCCTGCTTGGAGGCCTACCTCAAGAGCATACGCCTGGACAAGTGAGGCCACAGGGGGCGCGTGTGCCTGGGTGTTGGCAGGCTGGCACACATTGCGGCCGCAGGGTTGACACATTTCTGCAATGAATCAGTTTCAAGAATCTTGAATTGCAATGTGCACGTGGTGCAGCTTGAGAACCATCAACCCTGTCTTCAGAAGGTTAGCTAGGCAATCTGGTTGCTTGATCGGCCCTGTGCGGAACACGTGCTATCTTAGGGCCCACAATGCATTGTCAATTGCTGCTTTTCATATGTGCAGGCAACGAAAAACAGGGTTTGCATGCCCCCGGAATTGCGGCAAGGCGGCAAAGGGAGAGAAGGCGTGCCCAGGGCGGGTAAGTTGGGCATCCAATGTGGGTTCTTCCGTGGCAGCGCATGCTTTCACCCTGTGCATTAGTCCCATGGTATGCTCTGCTTGCCACGTTGGGGCCAACAATTCTGGCTTCCCCTGCCAGCCAGGGCATGTTTGACCGGTGGGCACATTGTGCAGGTTTCCAAGTCGCACCCTATTTATGCACGGAATGACAACAGGTACGCTGGACGGGTGCCTCTCAGGACCGCATGGATCTCGCCCTTGCCCTGTGTTGCTGCCCTGCCAATGTCCCGTACAGCTCAGCTGGTGATGGCCCGCTAGATGCATTGCATGAGCTGCTGTCCCATGTGGCTCCATCCCCTTGCTGCATTGCCACTCTGTTGCCCATCTGGCGCTGGTGCGTGCAGCAAGAAGCGGCGGAAGGCCAAGATGCCGGACCAGCTCGTGGTGCCCCCCCCAGCAGCAGCAGCAGGCAAGAAGCCGCCCCTGCCCAAGATGTCTCCCAAGGGCGAGGAGAAGAGCCCGGGCGAGGAGGCGGGCAAAGTGGTGGCCCTGGTGCGCGGGGAGCGGGGCGGGGGCAGCAAGGCGGTGCCCATTCTGGTGGTCAACAGCGCCAAGCAGCAAGCGGCGGCCGCACACGAGGAGGCGCGCGCAGAGGTGCTGCTCATCCGCGCGCGCAGCGCTGCCAGCAAAGAGGGCAGCCGTACAGACGACAAGGGGGCCCAGCAGAAGAAGGGGGAGGCCGAGGCGGACGAGGAGTATGCGCCCCCGCGGGGGCCAGCCTCCCTGGCCGACTTTGCAGTGTCTATAACAAAGGTCAAGGGCCGCAAGGGCACGCCCGCGACTGGCTCGGCCCCCGAAGCAAAAAAGAGCAAGGAAGAGGTGAGCGGCACCTGGGGGGCAGGGGAAGGAGGGACAGCGGGGCTGAGCAGGATATGCAGTAAGGAGCCTCCGCAGAAGAAATTCTGAAGCTTTCATGGACAGGGTTGATTAGCGAACAAGTGCATTGCAGTGAGCCAGACGAGCCAGAGTTAGATTCCAAGGGAGGCACAAAGCAAAGGCCCGAGGCAAATGCCAGTTGCTTACTGCTGTTGCATCTGCTTTTGCTGCGCCAGGTACCAGCCATTGCTCCACCTGAGGGCCCACCCGCTGTTGTGGAGGCTGCGCCTGCCCCTCCCGCGAATGGGGCGCTGCAGGCCGGCCCTGATGCCGCCTTTGAGGCCCCTCCCTCTCCCAAAGTAGAGGAGAGCCCACGCAAGGCACTCACTGATGGCCCCCGACAAGAGGAGGCTGCCAAGACCTTGAGGTGAGGCGCGCCAGTCAAACTATTGCAACTGCTGCATCCATGTGTGTGACTCCTGCAAAGTAAGTTCTCAGCATACGGTCGCATGTCCATTGTTGGCGTGTGGCTGATGCGCTTGTCGTTCCATGAGCGCGTGTGCTCCTTGTTGCTCTGGCAGGAGCCCCAGCAAGAGCCAGCGCAAGCACCAGCAGCGGCTAGCCGCTCGTCACCTGCGCGAGAAGCAGGACGCGGGCCTGCGCACCAAGGAGGGGGGCATTGGGGCCCTCCAAGCGGGCATCTCCTCCGCCAGTAATGCCACAGTGGTGCCGTCGTCCGCTCTGCAGCAGCCACTAGAGACCGTGCAAGAGACAGCCGCCTTTCCGCCTCTGCCGTCCTCCAAGCCTGTTGCCCCCCCGCCGTTGGTGCCCGCCCTCCCGGCCTTGCGCCTCACGCCGCCCCCCGCAAAGGACGACCCCATGCCAGAGCCCCCGGTGGCAGCGGCCCCAGGGCCGGAGGTGACCCTGGGCCAGGCCGACGGGCAGGCCGGGCGGGGCCAGTGGAGCACCGCCTGCGAGGCTGCCCTGCGGGAGCGCAAGATCCAGGTCCACGCGGCGCAGCTCCAAGGGTGAGGGATTGCCCCTCCTTCCCGTGCATGCCATCAGGCTCGCCGCCCTTCCTGGAGCTGCTGCTCTGTGCGATGCTGCTGGCACTGCCACCGCCCAAGCTGCTGCCTTTGCCCCTCCTTGCCGCTGACGGTCGCCTCGGTTTTGCCCCCTGTCTCCCCCAGGCTGGGCTACTTTTCGGAGGTGCAGTGTGTGGCGGCAGTGCGCGCCTGCGGGGCGGACCTCGGCCGCTGCTGCGACTGGCTGCTCTCCGGCGGGACCAAGGGGCCCGCTACCCCGCCCCAGCTGGTGAGCACAGTGGCCTTACCCTCGCAGACAAATGTGTTCAAGCCGTTCCTGCTTCTCGTTCCTGTGTCAATTGAGTACACAAGCTCTTACATGCCCTCTCTCTTCGAGAGACAGGCTTGGTACGTCTGTCTTCTTACTCTTTCCCCCTTGTGGCTCACTGCTCGTTGCGCTGTGCTGTGCAGGACATCAGTGCGGAGCTGTCCCGCCTGGCGGACCTTGCTGCGGCGGGCCCCATGACCCAGGTATGCGCCATTTGACACTTTGTTCAGCCAGCGTTGCATACTGCTAGCGACTCTTGCTGCACAATGGGCTTATGCGCTAGCGTCCTCGACCCAAGTGGATTGCTGCCGAGTCTGTGCCTCGTCTGTGCCTGCTTTTCTGACGATCGGCCTCCCGTGCCAGTACGGCACCACTGTGTAGCCGCCTCGTTCTCTGTCCGTTGTCCTGTCTGGGTGACCCTCTTCCGCTGCTCCCCTCGCCCCTACTCTCACCATCTCCTGCGCGTACCCACAGGCGACTCTGGAAGCTGCTGTGTTGCGCTGCCAGGGCGACATTGACGCGGCGCTGCGGCCTGCGTCGGGCGCTGCGGGGCCCCTCCCTGCGCCGCCCATGTCCATCGTGACCACCCCGGCGCTCTCGGTGGTGGCCCCGCCCGTGGCGGCAGTCAGCCCGGGGGCCGCCTCCGAGTTCGGCGCCATCAGCCGGCCCAGCAGCAGCAGCAGCAACAGGAGCGCAGGTACGACAAACAGACCCCAAAGAGCCGGCGGCCCCACGGCTGCTCTCCATGCGCCAAGCACCTCCGCTGCTCGCCTGTGTCCTGGTAGGCTGCGGCGACCAAGAACTCCTCATTGTCCGCTGCTCCGCTGTCCGGGCCCTCTCTCATGTTGTCCGCTGTCCGTGTTGCGCAGGCTCCCCCTGGGGCGGCCTGGACAGCCGCGGCAGCAGCAGCGAGGCCAGCAGTTTCTTCAGCACGTCCGCGTGGGGCAGCCTCGGCCCCTCGCTCGTGCCCAGCCCGCCCTCGCAGCCCGACGCCGGCGCCGCCTTCAGCCCCTTCGGCGGGGGCTTCCCCTCGGAGCTGTTGCGGTCCAGCTCGCTGCGCGCCGACCCTGCCCCGCCCCGCAGCACGCCTGCGTGGCCCATCCCAGAGGGCGGCCCCGACGGCGGGGGGGGGGACTCGTTCTGCAGCCGAGACGGGTCGTTTTTGAGCCGGGGCGGCGACCCGTTTGGCAGCTTTGGCGTGCGCAGTGCCAGCAGCGTGGAGGCGTGGAGCCTGTCGGACCTGTCGGACCCGGACAGCGCGGACAGCGCGCTCAGCGAGGCGCACCAGAGCACCGTCACCTCGGTGGCCGCCGCCGTGCTGCAGGACAGCTTCGACGACCCCGTCCCACCCGCCCCGCCCGCGCCCGGCTACAGTGCGCCGTTCCCGCCCCCTGCGCTGTGGGCCGGCCACTACCAGGACGGGCCACACATGCCGCAGCGCATGGCGCAGCTCGGGACGATAGGGCACCCGCAAACGGGGTTCAAGCACGGCAACCCTGGAGAGAGGACCGGGCCGCACTTCAAGACATACGGCCCCAACGAGCCTCCCCCTGCGCTGTGGGGCTTCAACGGGATTGCTCCTCCGCAGCCTCACCCCGGCTTTGGAGACCACGGTTTCTTTGGGGGGCCGGGGCGGGCCCCCGGGATGCCAGCCGGGTATGGTCGGCAGGCGGGCCCGAGCGGCCCCCTGGGGGAGGGCGGCCAGTATGCGGCCAATGGGCGGCAGCCACGCGGGATGCAGTGGCGGGACGTGGGGCCCGGGCGGGGGTTCGGCCCCGAGGGGCCGCACCACTGGGCGGATCAAGATCGGCTGGTGACCCAGCTGTTGTCGCAACTGCTGGTGTGACAGCTCGGGGCGGTGCTACAAGCTGCCCCCGTACATTGTAGGCCTTAGCAAGGTGCGTAAAAGGGTCGGGTAGGGAGTTGCCATGCGTGTGCATGTGTACAGAAGCAGTCGTTATCCTAACCCTGTCACTGGTTTCGGCACATACACAAAAGGTAGGCCCACTTAGATCCACAGCTGGCTTTTGGATTCGGCCATGTTTGGATAGACCACTAGCTTCGGTTGTTGATAGTTTGGCCGTTTGCAGAACATATGTATAAATAACAGACTCTCTTATATCGTTTCGCGTGGTGACCTTCAGTCATGTAACGCCTTTGAGCTTACTAAGTGTCAGTCCCCGTACTTCCTGGCCTTGCATGAGGCACGCTCAATGTTTGCAGATGGTAAGTCGACTTTGAAAGTGAGACGGCCAGCTTGCACAAGTAGGTGCATGTTTTCATGTGAGCCTGGCCACCACTGATGCTGGCCGGTTATCCATGTCCCGCCTTGCTGCTGCAACTTTGAGAAATCTCACACCAGCCTGCAGTTATTGAACTCGATATAAAGTTTGTGCATGCCACAAGGCCCACGCCCACATGCATGATTTCGAGCTCGATCAAATGGTGGTTGTATGCGTCCAAAGCGATCTCAGTCAATCCCTTCCCGGCCCGGCGGCGTTGCAAGTCAGAAAACTTTCCGCGTTTGCAGGGATCATTTACTCGCACATACATCGGGAGCCATGCAGACGAAAAAAGATCGGATGGCCCCCCCACGCGAACTAGGATATATGCATGCGTGGATTGGAGAGTTGCTTTGACAACACTCTGGCGGCTTGTTCATGCATGCAAGTCAATACGTCCAGCACATGTTCCTAGGAGGAAAATTTCCTAGGAGACAATACCCTTGCATCTTTGATGTTAGAGGGGAGAGTTAGAAAATTACGAACTTTCCTCAATATGCAGGATGTTATTGAATTAAAGTACACAGTAGGAAAGTATGTACACTTAAGCTTTACAATAAGAGCGGGTTTAGGTTAGAGTTTCAAATAAAGACAGTCGTACCGACTTAGCCGACGGCTCCGAACTGACGTCAAATCAACTAAATCTAACTCTATACGTCCATCATTGTCATATACCGCTTAATACGGAGCCCTTACTGATTCAGCGTGCTAGGTTTTGTTTACATGGACTGTAATCCTCTGTCTTGAGAGTCCTGCCGCCATGGAAGAATCATAAATAATTTATAAGCTCTTATAAGCTATACGATGAAGGATCTCGAGCATGCCAGAATCAGAGGGCATGCCAGGGCTGCGGATACATCACACGGTTTGGAGTCTCTCGGAATGAGTCTAGACTCTAGATAATGGACTCAATCGTCAGCTCTTTGTTCCGGCAATTGCCATGTACACGTGCTCCATCATGCGTGGAACGTGGCGGGTATGCTGCAACAAAGCAGCTAGCAGTCCGGACAACTCAGTCAAGGGTCGATGCAAACACTGCATGAACCGGCAGGCTTGGCTGCCCGCTGTGCTACACAATCATACCATGACGGTTAACTGGCTGCAATGGCAGGTCCCGGAGCCACTGAACATTGAGTATCTTCACGTGCATGCGGCATCAAGCACCATGGGCACACTGTGTGCAGGCCCGCCCATGCATGTGATTGCATTTACGGGGATGCGATATCTTCAATGTCTGGCGTCCGTTGCGGCCCTGCGGCCTGCGCGGCCAGCTGCCCGCACGCCCCCGCAATATCTTGCCCCATCTCCTGCCGCACTGTTGCGTGCAGGCCGTGCCCGTCCCGCAGCACATGCTGGAAGTACCCCAGCGAGAGCGCGCTGCTCGGCCGGTACGTGTCAGCCGCGGCAGCTGGATTGTACGGAATGAGATTCACAAACACGTCACGCCCACGCAGCAGCGCGCCCAACGCGGCCGCGTCCTCCTCCCTGTCGTTGACGCCGTCCAGCATGACGTACTCCACCAGCACGCCGCCCCCGCTGCACGCACACACGGCAGCATCGGTGCACCTCAGAAACGCACCCGCCTCGGACCCAACCTCCTGGGCAGGTGCACAGAGGAAGCAATGGCGAAGACACGCGGGTGAGAGGGCAACCATGACATGGTCGGTTGAGCCTCCACTGCAGCCACCTACTGCCACTATAAGATACGCAAAATGATCGCAAGCTGGTTGGAAGATGTAATCCTGACCGGCCGCAGCTTTCCGACCACCACCAATCGGTACATATGAACGAACACAACAATGGTTCGGGAACAACCGGTTGCACGAGGGGCCGTACCTGGCTGCTTGGTAGGCATCAAGGGCGGCCATGAGGCGGTCGAGGGGATACGCGCGCGCGGCAGGGACGAGGGTGGCGCGAAGGGCCTGGGTGGGGGCGTGCAGCGAGAGGGCGAGGCGCACCCCAGGGAGGTCGGCGGGGAGGGTCAGCATGCGCGGGATGACGCCCACCGTGCTGACAGTGACGTGGGAGGGGGACAGGCCAAAGGCGCGCGGGGCGGTCAGGGTGCGCACCGCCGCCACAACAGCAGAGTAGTTGTTGAGGGGCTCCTGAAAGCACAGCAACGAGCACCGTAGTTCGAATGTGGAGTATCGACAGGCCAATGGATCCTGGATAAAAAGGGAAGCAAGCATCCACGTTACAGCTAGCTCAAGACTGGCACCTTCGAAGTGTTGGGGCAGAATTTTACAAAAAGCGACGCCAAAGATCCACCCAACAAACACTGTGTGATTCCCGGTCCATCAGGAAACTAGCCCCCAAGATATCGCACTGATTTTCCGTGGAAAAGAGACAGTTACTCTTTCTGGCGAGAAGAGCCAAAAGTGGCTCACCCCCATGCCCATGAAGACGACGTTGCGAATGGGGCAAATCTGGGAGGCGTGGAACAGCTGCTCCACAATCTCTCCTGCCGCTAGGTCGCCCTGCAAGGCAGGGCAAGATTGGACCACGGAACCTCTGGGACATCAGATGTGTGGTGGGCTAAGCCCAACAACACGGCAGGGAGGAAAGACAGGGCCAGCAGACTGGCGTCGCTAGAAAAGGGGCTTCGGATGTTGCAGGAAGAGGGACAGGCAGAGGTACAACGTGTACTTTTCAAGCGAAAAATTGGCTGCCTAAACCAACTTTGATGAGCCGCAAGAACGGCATCTGGTTGATTGAACACCCAACAGCGAGTATCAGCCAGCTGAAATCTAACTTCAGCAGAATTATCAAAGTCGAGTCAGGTGGCCAGGTTTTGAGGAGAGTGCAATATTTCATCACGCAATGATCAGCATTGAAGAACAACAGTCTACTTCACGCCAGAGATGCAAGTGCGCTCGCGGCTGCCGCACTTACGAGGAGGCCCATTGTGCCGGTGGCGCAGAAAGTGCACCCCATCTTGCAGCCGACCTGGCTGGACACACACAGCGTGGCGCGAGGGCCCCCCGGGCGTGGGCCCCCAGCATAGCGCCCAGCAGAGGCGTCGTAGCGCATGATGACCGCCTCCACCTGCAGGCCATCCTGCAGCACAAACAGCAGCCAGGATAACAGCAGTCAGCAGCTTGGAAGGAGAAACGAGTGTATCGAGCAGGGGCAAGGTGGGGCAGGCTTTGAAACGGGCAACAGCAGACACGGGCAGGAGGGGCAACCGAGGCGGCAGACAGGCGTCAGCAATTGCCAAGCAGCTGAGTAGTGAACACCTCCAGCCAAAGCTGTGCCTCAGTGCAAGCTGGCTGGTCGCCCCAAGCTGACAGCAGCCAACGAGCCAGCAACCCTGGGATAGTAGGAGGGGGGTGGTGGCAGTCAGCTTCACCCAGAATTTGCAGTGCCTTTCAATGATTACACCTGTTTGTGTTGGTGAGGTCGGGAAGAAGCCGCAAAATCAAACCAAGCTGCCCCCGAGCTCAAGAGCCCAGGTACGCCGTGTGGCTGCCAGTCTGACCTGCAGCCTGATCAGCAGCTTGCTGGTGCTGCCATCAGCTGACGTCTTGACCTCCTGCACGCTACTCGTCACCGCCGCAAAGTGGCGCTGCAGGACCTCCCTCGCACTGCCCGGCAGCCCGGGCGCGTCCTCCGGCCTGCCCGCACCGGCACTGCTGATGACATGCTGCCACACCGCGCCGAGGTGCACCTCCTTGACGCCGGCTGCCTCAAAGGCTCGCCGCAGCGCCGGCTCGTCAAACACCGGGGCAGGCCGCAGGCAACGTTGCGCCACCATGGCTGGCCGCCCAGGCTTCGTCTTCCCCTCCTTCCAAAGTTTCAACTTTCAGTTCAGGAAACAGCTCACTGAGCACATGGAAAGTGAGGTGGTCAGAGAATTGGGTTAGGCCCTCCGCTTATGGAGACGGGCTGGCACCGGCAGATCAGCCGTCGGCGTTAGACCATTTCCAGTCGCTGGCTGCTGTAGCCTGTACATGATTTTCGCTGACTGAAAGCCTTGGCCGGTTCTACATGCTCAGTTTCGAATTGCCGCTTTCTGGTTGCCTGTTAGGTGTAGAAACCATTATCCATCGTGTTAACCTCTCTTCAGGTTACGCTCCAGGCATTTTGTTACAGAGCTGCGTGTGCATTCCGTGCTCATCTTCCACGACTCTGAGCACAGAATTCGAAGGTTGCTGGGGCGGGCAGCATGCGGTCGTTGCGGCCTTTCCTCCGGTGGATGTCCGACCACGGCATTGTGTGGGCGGATGGCATCCATTTTCGGGCGGACGGCAGCGGGCGCTGGGGCGTGTACGCCGGACGGGACATGGAGGAGGGCGAGCCCATCGTGCGAATTCCAAAGGAAAGCTGCTTGACCGCCAGCAACACGGGAGCTGCAGCTCAGGTGCGCACACCAGGGGAAGCACGTGGGGCTGGGGGGCTGCTGCCTTGGCCCCACCACTCTTCTAGCATAGCTACCCGGCCGCCTGGAGCTGCAAATCTCCAGTGCCAGAAAGTATGGCAGGATAACACGTTTGAGAGGAATCTGCTTGAGCTCAAAGGAACCGTGCCGGCCGCAGCATTGCCCATCCTTAGGACAATCGCGTGGCGCTGGTGTGGCCCTGCTGTAACGCTAGCTCCAGCTGAGATTAAGCAAGCTTATGTATCTTCCCGACATTTGATTTGTATTGCCCTTTTGAATCTGTCAGATTGAGGCTGCCTGCCTGGGCGGCGGCCTCGCGCTGGCGGTGGCTGTGATGTACGAGCGCAGCCGCGGGGCGTCCTCCCCCTGGCATGCCTACCTGGCGGTGCTCCCCCGCCAGGAGGACGTGCCCATTGCGTGGGGGGCGCAGCAGGTGCACCACCTCCTGTGCGGAACGGAGCTGCACCAGGTGGGGCCGGGACGCAGCTGACGCCGCCGCTCTTATTGAATATGGGAATAGGACATTTAGTGCAGGTTTCTACTGCTATTCGCCTCTTGTGCAGTGTTTTAGCAAAACCTTCGTAGTTCGTCAACAGCGGGGACACCTGCTTCTTTCTCACTCCTCCTGCTGTGTCGCGTGCGGGCCCAACCGCAAATCACCATACCATCAGCTGTAAGTCCCGTCCTTGTAGCGCGCCTGTGACTGTGAGTCCAAAGCTGACTTCGCTCATGCAGTCTTCCCACCTCAGACTGTGTTGGAGGACCTGCGGCTTATTCGCCAGGACTGGCTCGACTGCATAGCACCTTTGAGCGAGGAGGACCCCGCCACCTTTCCTCCCGCCCACTTCACTCTAGCCGACTATCTGGCCGCCAAGACGCTCATCAGCTCGCGCGCATTTGCAATCGACCGCCACCACACTATGGGCATGCTCCCTTTTGCAGACATGTGAGCCAGGACTGCACTTTTGGCTTACGTTCCTGAGCTGGTTCTACCAGAGGAAGTCAGCAAGCGGCACTGAGTTTTGATTACCCAAGCCCAGGAGTTGAGGAACCATCTTTTGCAGATGAAGAACCGACTTCAGTTGCTGCCCATGTTGATTGGCTTGCTTGTATATCAAAAACTGTTTCTTGTGAGGCTATTGCAATCACGAAAGCCTGGAAGGTAAATGATACGTGTGGGGGCGTGATGCTTGCAGGCTGAACCACAAGACAGCGGCGGAAGACGTTCACCTTATGATTGGGGATGGCGATGGCGACTCAGACGACGAGAGCAGCCTCGATTCAGACGAAGAGGCGGAGGGAGAGGACGATGTCCGGCAGCAGGGCGACAGCGGTGGGACTCAGAGGGCACACGAAATGGCAGAAGACGGGGAGACGACAGAAGAAAGCCGGCGGAAGGGCTCAGGGCGCAGCAAGCGAAGGGAGCCCGAGACGGTTGGGCCGCCGGGACAAGAGAACGGGGGACGGGGTCCAAAGCGAAGGAAAGGGAGCGGGGAAGGGAGGCCGGGAAAAGGCGATACCGAAAGGTCCAACATGGATAATGGCAGCCCTGAAGTGGGGCATCGAGTGGGGGTGGGGGAACCCGCAGCGGTGGTCGAAGACAGTGGAACCAGGCAGGCCGGGGAAGAAGGAGAGAAGCGGACGCAGGAAAACGGAACGGACGAGAAGAAAGGAAGAAATGCGGGGCAGACCGACGGGGGGACGGGGAGAGGCCAGGCAGGGGCGCACGAGGACATGGGAGGCGAGGCCGTCGGGGAGAGTGCGAGCGACGAGCTGGAGATGGTGCTGCTGCACGACCTGCAAGTGGGGCGCGAGGTGAGACGCGCAGCCACGCGAGTCGGAGCATGACCGGCTGCTGGAAAGGGTGGCTGTTGTCTCGCACGTTGTCAGGAACTTGTTCTTGAGTGCATCGGAGGAACTGGTCCTTCGGTCTTGGGCGTTGAAACATGCAGGCGGAGACCCAAAGCTGGACTTTCTATTCCTGATCCAATCGAGGCAGCTTTGAAGACCCCTTCCTCCCTGTGCGCGCTAAATGGTCACAGCGTCCAGCCCACGTTCGACCCCTTGCTGTTATACCGCGTCGCTTCCCCTACCGGTTCGACAACCTTAGCAGCTATGTTGTTCCTCCAGCCTCGACCCGCCACTAACCTATTCCCCCTGACTAAAGGTGTTCAACACGTACGGCCGCCTGAGCAGTGGCGCGCTGCTATATCGCTACGGTTTCACGGAGCACGCCAACCCGTTCGACCTGGTCAACCTGGACGCGTACAAGGTGGCCGCCGCCGCTGCCGCCGCTCCGGGCTGCACCGCACGCCAGGTCCGCTCGCGCTGGGCGCTCTGGAGGGCGGCCTTGGGCAGCTCGCTCACAACGCAGGTCAGAATGTCGGGGTTTCATGTTGGAGCAAAGTTTGACAGCAAGGTCCCCCCCCCCGTGGTTATGCTTGTCTCGTCGGCGGCCTGGAATCGGGGCCTTTGCCAACGAGCCTTCTAGTTACTTTCAACCACTTTTGTGGTACCTCCAGGGCGAGACGACCCAATGAGATGAAGAGTTGACGGATGGTCAGAAAGTCATCCTGTGCGAGTCCACGGGACAGCATCTTCCCCACCTCAATCGGCCTGCCCATCCTACCTTCCTGCTGTATGCAGGCGTGGCAGTACTTCGAGATCGGGTGCGGGGGCCAGCCCGAGGCCGAGCTGCTGCTGCTGCTGTATGTCATCCATGCCCCCGAGGCAGCCGCCGCCGCGCTGGGCCACCACCCGGGCCTGCCCGCCTGCGCGGGCGACGTGCACCAGGTAGCCGCGCTGCTCGGGTACGGCCACCCCGACCCGACAGCAGGCGACCGGGACAAGAGCCGGCAACGCCCGGCACAGACGAGCGAGGGAAGGAAGACGAAGGTCCGCACGTCGCGCGCTAGGCACCTTGAGGTGGAAGAAGCGCGTACCGGCGGTGACGTCAGGGACGGGGGCGAGCAGGCGGGGTGCAAAAAGTGGTGCCCCGAGGAGGACCCGGTGCAGGACTGGCTGCTGACGTCAGAAGTGGTGCGCAGCCTGCTGCGGGCGCTGGACGCGCGGGAGGAGGCGTACCGGGCGGGGCCGCTGGCGCACGACGAGGCCCTGTGGGCAGTAATGGACGGCGGGGCTCAGCCCCGGGCGTACCACGCACTGGCGCTCAGGATCGCAGAGCGGCAAGTGCTGCAGCGGTGCAGGGAGACGCTGAGGGCGAGGCTGACGCGAAACGAGAGGTGACGCCGGCTGCAGGCCCGGCAGGCCCCCGGATGTCCCGGTCTCGCAAGCCAGGGTGGAGATCGCTCTGACGAGGTCGTCTCTTGAGCGCATAAGTGAGCAGACGATTGTGCAGACAAGATTCGGTGCTGCAAGGTCCCAAAGTGCTTTCCTCTCTGCTACTCTTTCATTCCTGTGACACGGTCACGACTTCAACTGCTCTCAGTCTGCCAACTTCGAGTAGGGGCCGACACAGAGTAAAACGTCCTTGAAGGTACTCTGAATGGGGGCAGGCAATCGCATAGGGTGCAATAGCAAGCGATGTGGTCTGGAAAGCTCCAGCTAGCAAAGTTGCGGGCTTGATATCAGATGCGCATGTGCTTAGGCAGCTAGCTGCGTTGAGCAGGGCAATGCGGGGCAATCGCTCTTATGCATCATGTGAATTGGCGTATATGCAGTTAAATGTGCCTCGACACAATTGGTGAGTCACGGTCTGCCAGCTGGCGTGTGGTCGACAAATCAACACGTGTCGACGGTGTTCAGCCAGGCGGCTTTCATGCAATTGCAACCACGAGCGCGCCGCCAGCAGAGTCACTGACAGACTATCTGCACATATTTCAGACGACGTCCGTGCCGGGCACTATCCACCCGAATGAAAGAAGTATGCAGCATGTTTAACAGAGTGCAGGACGGCCTGGTTCAGATTTGGGTCACGGATATTGCACGGAGCTGATTCCAATTGTTGTGTCACGCGAGCTCATGATCGATGAGTCCCATGGTGTCAACGCAATTCAGACCACCGTTTGCACGACGTCCAGGTTGTGAGCGAGGGGTACGGTCAGGCTAGCCAACGTATGGTGGTCGTCATAGACGATCCCACCGTGACCGCGGTTGATCATGCAGCCGCAGCGCGAGCGCCAGACCGAGCTCCCTAGCTACGGACTTACGCACCCTAGCATCCCCATGGCCTATCTCGATAGCTCTGCTGACATGACGGTTGCTGAAAAGTGTCAGGACGCATATATACACGGTTTGTAACCGCACTTTCGAACCGGGCACGGTCGAGCTTACTGCATCGGGCAAACCATGAGAATCCGGGAAGTAGCTACGCAGGTTCTTGTATGAGCTGCACGTGCCCAAGGAATATATCAATGCATGACAAGTTTGGTACTTTTGGTATGTCCAGACCTTTGAACGCTTAAACGCTTTATTTGTATTCATTTGTAATTGATAAGAATGATGTTCGAATCCAACTTGTACTGTATTCCTAAATGCCTTCGCAGCCTAATTTCTGACTTCAGAGTAGGCACATTAGCAAACTGTTAAGCTTCTCCCGTGCGCAATGAATCTTACATACGCTGCTCTTTTTTGAAAGCGTACACTGTAATGAACTCAACCGCCGCAGCATTCTACTACTTTTTGCAACTCGAAGATCAAAACTGCAAGTCGACACCGCGGGGGGGCCCGCGTCAGCTGTCTTTGAGCAGCAGCACGACGGTGTGGCAGGCGACGCTCCTGTTCTCGCCCAGGCTGTCCACCTTCTCATGCGTCTTGGCCTTGATGTTGATGCAGCTCGGGTGCGCCTCCAGCAGCTCGCACAGGATCGCCTTGATGGCCTCCTTGTGCGGGCTCAGCTTCGGCCGCTGCAGGATCACCGTCGCGTCCAGGTTGCCCAGCGAGTACCCCGCCTCCCGCATCCGCTTGATCTGCACGCCGCGCCACGAGATCGGATTTTGAGAAGCGGCCCAACCTATTCAAGCTGGAAGCACGTCCAGCCAGCAGCAGGAGAAGGAAGAGCTTTGTACGATATTCTGCAATATACACGTACCGCCAGACTTCTAAATTGGACGAGACCCTTCCGTTCATTTGGAAGAAAGACTGCCGGTCATGCTGGTAGGTCATGCAGGTAAGTCATAACGGCAAAATCTACGATTCAGGACCAAACCGTTGACTTGGATTGACAATTTGTCACTTCCCCAGGTTTGTTGTTGACCAAAGATGGATCCAGAAGAACGGGGCTTCGTCAATCAGACTGTGCCGCACATGTTATGTAACCTCAGAGCGCTTCCTGCTTGCATCCAATGCTTGGCGCTGATTGGGTTTAGAACCATTGCAGCCTCTCAATCACGATAGAGGCATAACACCGATCTGCGGGGAGCAACAGGACATGCTGAGCAGTTGGAAGGGGCCTTGCAGAGGAGCCTGCTTATCCTCCTTACGCCTGCGGGGGGCAGGCACACAGTGCAGAGCTCAGGGCGCGCACTCACTGCTTCTTTCATGAAAACGGAGGAGGCGGCCCCCTTCCACTTGGGATCGTTGTCGGGGAAGAGCTGCCCAATGTCGGGCAGGCTGAGCGCGCCCAGAATCGCGTCCACAATGCAATGCATCAGCACGTCGCCTGCAGCGCCAACATCGCCGAAGGCTCACAGCTCGTTAGTTCAAAGGACGCAGCAATACCGAAAGTGCAAAAGTAGGCAAACGGCTCTTCATAGATTAGGAATCAGGGACGCTTGGATGAGAACAGACCTCCAACAGATGAAACAACACTTCTCTAGAATGAGGCTCACCATCGGAGTGCGCGTCGCAGCCTCGGTCGTGCGGGATGGTGACTCCACCGATGATGAGCTGGCGGTCGGGCTCCAGGCGGTGCAGGTCAAAGCCATGGCCAACACGGAAGGGCAGGGCGGGGGGGCTGGCAGCCGCACGCACCTGCAGGACAGCCAGCAAGCAGGTCATCAAGCTACAGAAACACGAAGGACCTGGGCCAAAGCAGTACTGTGGCCAACCAAGGACAGCGGCTCAGATATTGAGTTGTGTCTGCGAAAGAGACTGAGCGTTTTCGCAGACCACCACTCCCCAAACAGCAACCATGTACGCATGCAATCACATCATCACTCAGGTTCCCAAACTTCAAACCCCAAGAGTGACACTGGGCGAAATATTGCAAGGAACTTTCCAAGGATTAATGAACTGTCGAAGACAACACTACGGGGTGCATAGGCCTTGTCGACTTGGGCCACTGGAAGACCAAGGAGGGTCTCCCAGAAAGACCGTCCCTGTTGGGGGAGGCCCCGATTCTCTCGCTTATATTGCTAGGCCCCTCAACTGGAAAGACAGCCTTGCTTTGATTGAGAAAATTGGGGTCGCGGCGCGAAAGGACTATTCTCCCTCCACCAAGAGCTCCTCTTACGTTCGAAGAGAGACTGCAAGTGCAAGCTGGTTGCCCACGTGTCCAATGGGCGCTCGGTTGACAAGAAGGCACTCAGAGCGAAGGTAGTGCAAGGATATGATCAAGCTAACTGGTGGAGGAGAAGGGGCCAGTCTGCTTGATACCTGACAGCGGGCCCTTCTTGCAGTGGGCTGTGCCGGCTGCCCCTCATGAATGCCCCGTCCAAGGAAGGGGGCAAACCTGCGGGCCATAGAATGAGGTTTGCCCTGTGAGTTTGACGGTGTGGCTACTCTCCAGCCAGGTGCAAGTCAGAGACCAGCGCCGCCACAGGGCACAAAGGCCAGCTAGCGTCTCCACGGTGTACGATAGGTGGTGGTGCATTCTGTCCAGCATTCAGAATATCCAGACACAAGGGTAACTCGCGGACTGTGCAACTTGCTAAGGCCTGCACTTTTTCTGGCCCGCACAACCCGGCAGCTGTTACAATGCCCTGTGTTTTTTAAGTATACTTACAAGGGTCATGGGAGGCATCGATTTTCGATACCATTCAAGCCAAGTGTCAAACACAAACCTATGTACGATGACAATTGCTAATTGTCAAATCTAGGGAATTCATCAGCATTGGGGGTGAACATGCCCCCCTTCTACATACCTGCTTCCAGTTGGCAGTGTATCCCTTTGCGTGTCCGCCATGTGGCCCCATCTGCTTGAAATGCTGGGCCCTGATAGCAAACCGCCGGCACGGGCACACGAGGTGGCGGCCATGCCTCGGTGGCTGTCCTGCTCGAGGGCCTCCCCTCGCTCCAACTTCCAAGTTTCCAAGCCTGATCTCTCCAAGAAGCTTGTTCAATGAAACCGAAAAAGCAGGATGCCAGCCAGCAGCTGGGTCCAGTGCGGTTGCGTCTGGCCTCCAAAAAATAACTGGGCCGCGACTGACTTATCGGACAAACGTCGTCTAACTTTTGATATTAGCAATTTCCGTAGGAATCCAACTCTACAAAACTGTCAATACAGTCAGCCCAACAATAAAGACGGTATAACTTACCTAGATTGTAATAATTTGACTTCAAAAAGGATACGCGTACTGCATTTTGAATAATTGTCTGAATTAATTTGGAGGTTTTAGCGGTGCAGAACCTCTGACTGCCATGGCGGTACCTCTCGACTGGTCCCCCTGCTCTGACTCAGTCTCTCCAGAGGTCACTGGGTAGTACTAGTAGCTGATAGCTAGCGCTAGCTAGAGCTCTTTATGCAAGTTGAAAACCATGAGCAGAGCACACATTTAAAATTTTGATCAAGAAACGTTGGCGCCCTTGATAGTGAGGGATGGCTTGTCATTTGGTGCTGAATAACTTCACTTGGCGTGCCGCTGGCTGCCTCCTCTGCACATCTGGACCGCAAGCATCTGGCGAACCGCTCACCTTACCAACCCCGTGGAAGAAGTGGCCACCAGCTAGTGGTCCAAACACTGCTGCATTGTCACATCTGACGCGCCGTACGTCCGAAGCGGGATCCACCTGGCCCAGCCACCACATCAAGCCATTGTGAGCCATGACTTCATGCCAATTCTTTCGAGAGAGCCATTGTAGCCTAATCTGCTTTTGATCGATGATGCAACCTTTCTAAATGATTTGTTATCCATGTGCGAGTTTCTCTGGTTGCGATCTTCTTCAAACAATGCATCAAAGCCCTCATGTGCAGGCAGAGATTCACAAATGGTCGGTATTCCATCGCTTGCAAGGGCACGCCAGTAGCGGTGAGTGCAGATCCACTGAGCTGGGGCGCTCAACTCATAGCTAGGTGCAGGCAGCTGGGCAATTTACCCACTTTGATCTAGTCTAGCCCAGAAGTTTCAAGTTCAACGGCTGTTGCCCCTTGTACATAGACAGATTAGCTGAGCTACCCTGCAAATGGGGTCATGTTTTCATATGGGTGTCTGCCGTCAAAGAGGATTGCAGGCATTCTTACGTCTCTTGTCTTGCAGGAGTCGGCAGGGGAGCCGGCAGTGCTCCCTACACCATTCATCAACCTGGACCAAGATCAAAAGGAGGATGTCACGGTTGTGGAATTGAAGTTTGGCGATCGTTTGGGGGCCCTACTGGACACGGTGAGTCATGTGCCAGGCCTATAGATTGTACCGCTGGTCTTGCTAAGCTGCTCAGCTAGAAGAGAGTCAGGTAGAGTGGTGTGAGAGGCAATGGAACAATTGTTCCTAGATCTATGTGGGCCGATCTGATGCTGCTAATTGGCTGTCACAGATGAAGGCTCTCCGTGAGCTTGGGGTGAATGTGGTGAAGGCCAAAGTGAGCACCGTGGAGCGCGTTGGCTGGAACAAGTTTGAGATCACCAACAAGTGAGACAGCAGCGCAGCTCTCCCTCCGTCCTCTGGTTTGCACCTTCGGTAGCGCTTTCACCTCTCCTCGATGTCAATTTCATCGGGAGCTGCCTTGTCTTTCTTTCTACAAAGGCATTGAGCTAGGCCAGCATCCTCCAGCAGAAGAAGACCCTTGACAATTGCATCAGGGATCGTTCAACAGTGAGGCTTGAAAGCAATGTTCAGAACTATCTTGATGCCCCGGTGCACAGGGACGGTGGCAAGGTGACGGACCCCGAGCTGGTGGAGGCGATCCGGCTGACAGTCATTGAGAACCTCCTGCAGTACCATCCTGTAAGACACCGCAAGCCAACAACTGAAGTCAATAAGCTGGCTGGGTCAATCTGCTGAACGGTGCACGATGTAGTCGAAATGGTACAATGATCCCATTGCCTGCAATTACCACCATCTATTAAGAGTTGCCTCTTGTGTCTGTGAGGTACCTTGACAGCCCCTCGTCCGGTCATCTGCTTGGTTCTTCCTTGTGCAAGTCTTCAGGTCTCGCTAAACATCTGGGACAGGACAGCCCCCATCCAGGCACAGAGAAAAAGTAGCCAAGTAGCTACAAATCTCTTGAGGAATTGTGCCGCTTGGGTTCAAGGTTTGAAAGTTGACGGCCCCTCACTGAGGAGGTCAGTGTCGCTGTCCCAAACTTACATTTCCTATACGGGCAAGTGGATTCGGTGGTCAGGTTAAAGCATTCCCCTTACTCAAGCAAAGGTCGTTTGGCTCTGCAGGAGTCGAGTGCCAAGCTTGCTATGGGGCTGCCCAGCCCTCAGGCAATTCAGATTCCCACGTCCATAACTGTGTCGCCCGTGGATGCCACAAGCTCATGCATCCATGTCGAGACTCCAGACCGACCAGGACTCCTCCTCGAAATCGTCAAGGTGCTTACAGACATCAGTGTTGTGATCAAGTCAGCTGACATCCATACTGAGGTAAGAACAAAGCTTCAAGATATAATCAAAGTCTTAGACCATGTTTGTTTGCCGGTGAGTCGCTTCCAGCGCACCTTGTGTGCATAATCTGGCAAGCAAGAACAAACCGCTCACCAGCGCTCCCTGGTGCAGGGCCTGGTTGCCCTGGACGACTTCGTGGTGTCTTATCAGGGGGAGGCCCTGAACAAGTCCATGAAAGAGGTAAGCCCCACCCTGTACTCACATCCGCGCCATGCCGAGACGCGCTGTGAGCCAGCTCTACCTGGTTCAGACGACGCAGTATGCAGGCTCTACCTGGTTTGTTGACTGCGTGCAGATTCCCTACATCGTGGATTGTACATGCTTCTTCTCACACTCATCTTCACCTTTCTGTGGTCAGCTGGTGACCAACGCCCTGCAATTTTACCTCACTCGGTATAGTCTAGAAGAGGACAGCTACTAGGTAGCCGTCGGCAGATTCAGTCATGCAAGCTATGGTGTCTAAAAGGACTTGTATATATTCTGCTTGTGTTGGTAAACACTGTAAATAGGATTGTTGTCACTTTGATAGTTGTGCGTTTGTCATCTTAACAGTAATTTGGCTTAAATTTTTTTCTAAAAACAGATATATATATGTAAGTAGATTGTACCTAAAGATCCGATTGGCAGTCGCAGTGACAATGTTCCAGGTAATAGCACATGAACCAAACTCAGCCCATGCATTCATATAATCCTTCGAAAGTCAACTCATCAATATGTTTGCGACAAATGTGCGGCAATTCTGGTACAATTGCCTAGATGCAGATTGGACCTTTCACTGTACGATTGGTGCTACTTCACTAGCTGTGCGCCGCGACTAATCGTGGTCGATTCTCATGCACCGCGAGCCTGGTCGTAGAATCAGGATATATATACGTCATCGAAATCGACAGGTGCAATGGCATGTGTTATTGAATGACGAACTCGAGAAAAGAGACCATCGTAAACCATGACACCATGGTCATTATATGCATGCCATGTGGGAGTTCGATGGTGCAATCTCAGCTCTGTAATCAAAGATCACATTGACGGCTTTGAAGTGACATTAATACTTGATATTGTTCGATCATGGGTGATCCCATCATGCTGGATTAAGATGTTGGCCTGGACATCATGCATGTATGACTTCGGTCGCAATCAACATCAGGTACTGGACTTCGACCGGCGTTGCGGAATGGACCTACCCTCATGGCGTTTGTAGGGCAACTTCGTCTGACTATTGTTCCACAAAGAGCGCCCTGCTGTCATGCGGAATGACCCGTCACCAAATCAACAACAACAAGCTTCACAAAAAGACCGCTTAGAAAGGCAAAGACTCTGTTGGAGACTCGGTTCGGTATTGCAGCCTTTGTACAGCAGCTTCAGTAGCATGCTACAACACCGCCCGGTCCCTCAGACTTGTATAGCATCAAAAACGTAGCTTACACGAGGACAATCGGTCACTACAAGTTCCAACAAGCCTCTTCTCCTCCTCATATTCCGCCATGAGGAACTTCGACAGCGCGCCTTGCTGGCTGGCCGTAGTGCGTGCGTTCATGCCGTGTTAGGTCCACCTTGTATCCAAACTGACGGCCGCAGTTCGGCCACCTGTTGAAAGAAAGTGACGCAGGTAAGGAGCTTTAAAGAGGCACCAAGCACTCTGATTGCAAGGAACATCACTGCACAAACACCAATCTGTGCATGTGCATATCTTTGACAAAGGATAAGAGCGCCTGACTTACGTGCATTGGAAGGGCTTCTCGCCCGTGTGCGTGCGCATGTGGCCGTGCAGCGAGTTGGCCCACTTGAAGGTCTTGTCGCAGCCCTCCCAGGGGCAGTGCAGAGGTCGCTCGTCGCTGTGGATCTTCTGGTGGGTGATGAGGCGCTCGCGGAAAGCAAAGCGCTTCCCGCAGCCCTCGTAAGGGCAGATGTGGGCCCGCTCGTGCTTCTTGACGTGGCGGCACATGACCGTCTTGCTGCTGAAGGCCATGCCACACCCCTCGAAGGGGCACTGGTAAGGCCGGTGGCCCCTGCATGCAGACCACCAAGGATGAGGGCAAAGCAACATCAGAGGCCAGTTTTCAATAAGTGCCATGGATAGCCAAAGCTCTGAAGGTGGCAGCATGTCACAGCGTACTGAATCTGGTCAAGAGTGAGAGCATGTCGCAAAGGACGGAGATGTATTCCCGGCCGGACTTGAACGTTTCTTTTCTCAAATCTGGAAAGAACAATGTGATTCGTATCCAGCAGCAAGCACAGATCCTGCTAGGGCATAGCCCTTGATAAGCGCATGCACACAAAGACGGATGGTGCAGGGTGTCACCTGTGCTCGTTCTCGTGGTCGCGCAGGTTGCCAGGGGTGGCAAACGTTCTGCCGCAGTCGGGATAGGTGCAACTGTGCACCTTCTCAGTCATGATCAACATGCGCTTCACCTCGTCCAGCATCTGCACAGAACGCGATGCACAGCTTCATGCAAGCAACTGTTGAGGCCCGCGTGAATCTGTGCGCATACTCCCAGTTGCTTGCTCGCACACTAGGCAGAGTCATTGCAGAGAAAACCTTGAGTGTGGGATACAAGCAGTGAGCTTTATCTTCTAGGTAAGTGGTGTCTAACCTTCTCGAGTTGCGGGATTGTGAGGTCTTCCCACGGGATGTCTCGCAGTTGGGGGGTGATATCCAGGGGGTAGTGCTGCTGCCCTGATGCCTCCAGGGTCTCCAGCAGGCTGCGGTGAGCCAGGGAAAGCTCGTGCGAGTCGCCACCACGCAGGTGCTCAAACCTGGGAAGGGAGAGGAAGCCGTCTTACAATGCAAGACAGGGCTGGCACAAAATGCTTGACAACCATTGGAAAGTTGCCCCTCTCTCAAGGTGACAAAGTTGCAGACTGCAAGCAGGGGGAACAGGGGAAAGGGGCCTAGCAGAAAGAGATCTCTCAATGTTAGAGAGGCGGAGAAAGCTGGCGCCAGTATCCAGTTCGCGCACCTGAGTCGCTTCCACTTGGTCAAAGCTGGCTTGCGTGACGCACTGTAGGGGTCCTTCTTGCCAGGCTTCTCTGGCAGCTCCACATGGGCCAGGCTTGCGCTTAGGAAGCGCTCCACGCTGCCTTCAAACTGGTCGTTCACAAGCTTCATCAGCTTCTGGTAGGCTGTATGATGAAGAAAACGAAGCATGAGGTGTGCATTGCCATAAGGGAACAAAAGCTTCTCAGAAGTCTGCCCTTGACTTTGTTCCTCAGCATGTCAGACAAGATATCGGAGGAGGACCACCTTTCTTTTCCTGGAGGTACGATTGCCACAGTCCTTGCCATCATTGTCCTTCTCAAGCAAGAGAATGGCGGGACCTTTCAACTGATGCTGGTCGACTTGGTACAAGGAACTGATTATGATACCTCTTTCTGCCTCCATGCACCTTTGGTTTTCCATATATTGTATTCTGCAAGGACTCTCAACACACACTATAAGCACTCACAGATGGGGTCCAGGTCTATCTCAAGCCGCTTCAGCTTGCGCCTCTTCTTTGACTGCTTCCCCATCCCCATCAGAGGGATGGCCTCTCCATGTTGCATCCCTGGCCCCGCAACAGCCATCTGCTGGTGTGCCAAGTGTTGGTGCACCAGTTGCTGCTGTGCCAGTTGCTGCTGTGCTAGTTGCTGCTGTGCGAGCTGTTGCTGCGCCAGCTGCTGGTGCGCTAGCTGCTGCTGTGCCAGGGCCAGGTTCAAGCTGTGACTGTCCAGAATTGTCCCCCCCAACGCGGTATATTGCAGCAGCTGCCCCCGCTGCTGCTCCTCCAGCCGCTGCTGTTCCTCCTCCTCCAGCGCTCCATCTCGCCGGTACTGCATTGGCACCTGTAGGTACCCCTGGTGCCCGGCCAGCCCCATATGCGTCGCCTGCTGGTGTCTCCGGGCGTCCTCACCCTCCTCCTCGTCTTCCTCATGGACGGGGACCTCCTCACCCCGGAGCTCCACCTCCATGTCCAACTCTTCATGGCGGCTCCTGTCATCCTCTTCCTGGTCCACCCTTTCTGACCAGCCCCGCCCTTCCTGGTCAGACGCTTGATAATGCTCGTGGCTGCCCCCGTGCTGCCCCTCTCCTTGCACATGAAATGCCCCGTGCCTCTCATCTGGTTCAGGCTCCCCCTGCATGTACCTCTCTCGGTCGGCCATCATGCGCAAAGGGAGCCCTCAAATCTTGAGCGCTGCTCATGCACCGGAGAGGAAAAGGACAACTTCCTCTCCGCTTTTCTCCTTCCTCCTCGTCCGGTCTGCAGAGAAGGGCAGGTTCATCCACGGACTCCGATGCATCCTGGTAGCGAGAGCTCACGTCTGCCGTCGATCTGATAAGCCAGATTCCACATACTCGAGGGCGTCCCATGTTCGTTGATTGGATCAGGAGAGGAGCTCGAGAATTGGCGCTGCATAGAGGAATGGTTGGTCCAACAACGAAACCCTAATCCAACTTCTCTTGCAAAGGTTGTATATAATGGAAAGCGGATCCCTGGCTCTTGCCAATAATAATGTTGGCATTGCATGGGGCATTAAAAGGGCCCTGATCTTTGAAAAACGTACCTAGCCAGATCCCAGGGCGCTGCCAATCTGTGAGATCCTTTGCGTCCAACTTGCTTGCCGGTCACCAGAGTTGGATAATCCGTTTCGCCCCGACTATGGATGGCTCCTCTGACCTCGCAGATTACCACTGTCTTCGTGAACGAGTTGCAAATCTTAAGTTCGAGCAACGTAAGGTCTCAAAAGCAGATGAGACGGCCCTGTCAAAGCAGGATTGGCCACAGGTTAACCAGCTCAACCTGCTGCATCAGCAAGAAGTCAAGGTAAGCCAACAACTGTGCAAGAGTGACAAGCAGACGGGGGACTTCCGACTATGATGCAATATTCGAGCATCTTGCAGCTGTATTGATTGCGCATCGATGCATAAATTGCAGCTGACATGCGAATGCAATGCTGCCTACTGCAGTCCTGGGAGGGTAAGCTGCATGATGCCATGCGGCGCCTGGCAGCTCAACGAGCGGAGGTAGACAAGGAGAAGCTGGCAGCGGCGGCCCGGGTGAACAGCCTGGTGGGCAAGCTGGAGCGGCTGGAGAAGAGCAGCAAGGAGGCAGCGACACAGATGGCGCTGGTGCATCAGCGGGAGGTCAGCTTGGAGGACAGGGAGAGGGCAGGTCAATGCTGACGGCAGCATACAGACAATCTAGGGCAGATAAAAGCAAACTTCCAATCACCATCTCGCCTTCAAAGAATTGTTAGATTGTCTTTTAAGTTGCTCTTGAAAGAACAGCGCAACAGATGCATCTGCTAGCGGCAATTTGAGAGCCTTGTTGAATTTTGAAAGGCCCAACTACACCTGACGGTCTACAGGTTGATGAACTTGCTGCGAGGCAGAGGGCAGAGAGGGAAGCCTGGCAGCGCCAACAAGAAGAGCGGGAGCAGGAGCACAGGAAAGAGCTGGAAGACAAGCTGGCGCTGGTCAAAGCAAAGAGCCTGGCTGCTTGCAAAGAGGTAGAAGACGTTGGAGAAGGCCATTCGCACCCTGGCAACATTTCGGATTGCTGTGATTTGCCTGTTCCTAGAAAGTTGACAGCATAGATGATCAACATGCTCCAACAGGGCCCCTTGCTCAATTGGGTCACTTGCCTATTGATGCTCGTGCTGTGCGCCAGGTGTTGCAAGCGGAGGCAGAGTGGAAGCAGCGGCATGCGGCCCAGCTTCAGGAGACGATCAAGCGGCAGGCCCGGCTAGAGGAGCTGCAGGCGAGCGTGGAGCAGCTGACCAGGACAGCGGAGGAGGCCCGGCAAGGGGAGTCACACTGGGTATGGTTGCCAAGGCCTCCTGCCTCTCAGAAGTCGAGGGCTAATAGACCACTTTGAAATAACAGTGCTGCACTTCGCTGGAGTGAATTATGAAGCTTTCGTGGTAACACGTCGGCACTGATACGAGACCTTCTTGTTCGATGGAACGACCAGACTCGGTTTCAGCAATACGAACCTGTTCTACGATGCTATCCCTCTACTATATCTTGTAACGTTTCCCACTGTTTCCAAGGATCTGTATAGTGAAAGCTCGGCTGCAAGCCTTTTCTGACACTGCTAATCTTCGTCTCAACGCCTGTCTGAGCGGTGCCGCACATCGTGCAGAAGGTCGAGTACGAGGCTGCTGCAGTCAAGCACCGGCGGCAGACTGCGGGGCTGCAACAGCAGCTGCAAGACTCGCGTGAGCTCGTGCTGCTCGACCAGCAAAGTGCCTGCCCTTAGTGTATGCCTGGTGTTCGATCATACTGTTCGTTGCAGTATAGAAGTTCGCCCCCCCCTTTCCGGGTTTTTGTGGACTCTCGCTCGCTTCTAGTTTTCAGAGGTTGCTACCACTTCCTTCCAGGGGCTGCCTTGACGACTGCTGCCGCAGCCCACCAGGCCGACCTCGACCAGCTGCGAATAACGCACCAGGCCGAGATCGATCAATATAGGAAACAAAAGGTAGGCGTCCTCGCAACATGGAATCAACAGCAAGGTACTCCATATGAGCACACTGCTCTTCCTGTCCACACAAAGTAACATTCGGCTGCTTCGTAGCTCTAGAAACGATGCCTGCGTGGGTTCACTTCACCGGGCCGACAGCTTCTTTTGCCACTTGACGTTATCAGACGGCAAAGCATCAAAGTATGCACCCTTCATGCATTATTCAACTCCGTCGCCGCATGCTGAATTGAGCTGTTTGGTTTTCCAGAGCCAAGATCTTGAGGACTTGGAGGATCGGGTAAGGGAAACCGTCTCTCGCAAGGACGCAACGATCACCACTCTTCAAACGGATCTTGCCGCAACCACCAGACAACTGAAAAGTATGGAGCACCTGCTGAACCAGCTTCGAGACGAAAGTACGACTTAGGATTGTGGTCGATTGGTGAACGCAGTCAGCATCTTTGCACAACATCGATTGGTTGCTACCACGTCCGCCAGCCGTGTTGGAACCCCGCTCCAAGTGCAGACGGTTCTCGTGCCAAACCACAAGACCTCATGTCGAGTTGTAAGGCCAGCGGGGGTGTATGGAACGGGCCGTTCCAAGGCGCGCCGCACACTCATGCAGAACCTCACGAGCAATGCGCATGGTTGGAACCAGAACCGTGAACCAGGCCAATGTGGGCCAGCCGACGACGGCCGACAGATTTAACAGTCTGCGAGCAACTGGATCTCATTTGCATGGCGATGCGCGCTGTAACTAGGTTCCGATATAACCTGCTTACGGTAAACCTTTGAGATTAGCGATTCATTCCACCTCTCCATGCACCTTTGGCTCATGTGAATGCGTGCGGTAAGTTGCGCGCAGCTTGCATGCGCCCGGCCTACAATGTGCACATATCAAGTGTAACCTAGCTATACACTAGAGCGGGGGTGCGCCGCCTGTTACATGTATCAATTAAGGATGCCGTGCTTATAACGGACTCTCGCCATGACCTCAAATTGGCACGCTGCGCCCGATAATATAATTATAGAACATGCGACATCCGACGACCCGTAAACTAAGACTAGCTAGCACATCGACTTGAGAATCCTAACACGGTTCGTCATCCATCATTGTCGATCGTTGGTACGTGCTGCCCGTGGCCGGGCCTGTTCCATGCTCAACTACCTGCACGAGCGTATTTCAGCCGCCCATGCACTTGCAATGCACAACGTGTGAACATGCATGTGCAACTGGCAATCTCACTGATGAGCTAATTCGTTCAAGTAAAAGGCCCTTCCATTACGTTCGTCCAAAGTGGTTCTTGTGGACATTGAACTATTCGACTTCAAGCCAGGGGTCTGCTCTGCTGCATGTACGGTTATATGCTGTCAAGTGATCAAGTACTATAGTGTCAGCTACCGTCTTTGTTTATAATCGAACCCAGTCGTCCAATCTATGCGTTGGTTTTCTGACCGCATGGACTGAGTTCCTTCCCCAATACACGCCCGGCGTACCTGTTCTACACGAGCTACGCTGTGGGCCGTTTCTAGGAGCGGAGCCGTCCAATCTAGCAGTCGGCAACTCAACTGATTCTGGTCCCTGTTGTACGACCGCCGCTTGTGGCCGTTACAGCAATGATCAAATCAAAGAATGTTTGCAACCATGGGATGGTTTCTATGGCATCCAACTCCGCAACCCAACCCAACAGAGAAGCGAGATCGAATATCCCGCGTATCAGCGCGCTTGCTTCTCCGCTCGTCCGACTTGCGCCTCCACCTCCCTGGCGGCCTGCGCCTCCCTGCCCATGACCACAGTCACGTGGTTGGCATCAGGGAGGCCCTTGAAGCGCACGTTCCCGAAGCGCGCCTGCATGGCCTCGCCCGACTCATACGGGCACACAATGTCATGGCGGCCGTGCACCACCGAAATCGGCACCCCCGCGCACCGCAGACATTCCAGGGCCGGCTCCAGGACGTGCGCGCCGCCGCTGCCGGAACAGTTGCAGCGCGTTAGAACGGTGCACTGCCACCGACTAAAGGACACCAACTAACGAACGGTCAACCGAGAACCGGAGATTTGAAGGGTGGGAGCAACGGCTATTAAAAGAGGGCCACAACAGATTGTTAAGGGGGCCGGTCAGCAATCCCCTTTCTTGCACACCATTACAACATCTTAGCCAGTTGCAAGAGCTGAACCGGGCCTGCTTTCCCGACTATCAAAGCTGGTTGGCTGCGCTCACCGGATGGTGTTGTGGAACATGTGCCACGCTGACTCGTGCGAATGTTGCATGAAGTCGACGATCAGGCTGGACGGGAACCTGCACACCATGCACAGGCGTCAACAGGTGACCAAGCACTGGCAGCAATTGAGACGTCTGTCATTCATCCAAAATTTCGGCCTGCACGAAGTGAGCAACCGATACATTGAAGCTGTATACAGACAAGCAATATGATCGGGTCAGACTGGATAATAACAGTATGGCAAGCAGCGATTAAGGACGGTCGGTGTGGTGGTCCATTGATCGCTGTAGCTGACCTGCGGGGCCAGAGGGCCTGCAGGAGGGCGGTAAGGGGGGGCTCCCAGAACCGGTGGTGGGCGCACAGCCCGAAGCAAAAGGCACGGCTCAGGTGGTAGTAGTGGCAGATGAACGACAAGGCGAAATCCTGCATTCCGGGATGGGTATATCAGGAAGGGCAGACCAGGGGTTTTGATCGAGAGCAGGGACCCCGAAAACGTTGTGCAGTCAAGTGTTGAGCTCAAGAACTTTCATAGAAGCGGAGCGGGACGGGGCTCAGAAGCAGAGCTTGATGTCGAAGTCACACAGAGAGACAGGGTCGGAGGGGCTCACCTTGGGGGGCCAGGCAGCCTTAGGCGCCCACTGCTTCATCAACGCCTGGATAAGGGGCACAAACGTGCTCAGCGCAGCCAGGTATCGAAAGCAACATCTGCACAGCGAACAAAGGTGCAGGAGCAAGAGGTTGCAGGATTGCTTCCTATTGAGGTCACTAGCAGTCCGCTTCAAAATATCGAGTAACTTCAGTAACGCTTGGATGTTCCTCCCTGATAGCTCTTGACATCTCATTCTAAATCAAAAGTAATGTCCCTAGCTGGCTTGGCTGGTACCCTCACCTCACAGACGGGAATGTCCTGCTGCGGCGTGATGTAGACGGGCGCAAACAGGGTGATGGAGCGCACGCGGTGTGGGTACTTGGCAGCCAGCGCCAAGCAGAGCAGGGTGCCCATGGAGTGGCCCACCAGGTGGAACTGGCCCACCCCCTGCGCAGCCAGCACCGACCGCTCCAGCGCCGCCAAGTGCTCGCCTGCCAAGCACGCCACCGAACGTTTGGCCCGTGCAGGACAGACGCTTAACTCCAGCTGGAACCAAGATCCTTTAGCCACAAATGACAAAAATGGTCTTTGTCAAAGATGTACGGCACGTCGAGGGGGAACTTGTTAAAGTTCAAACAATTCCACGGACCCATGTTGGATTCCCAGTCGCGTGGACCCTCACCAATAGTATAGAGGCACGCGTGCGGCCGAGGGCTGCGCCCAAGCCCCAAGAGGTCCGGCAGCAGTACGCGGTGCCGGGAAAGGAACTCGGGAGACAGCTGCGGGAGCACCGAGTCCCCCCAGAAGTTGGAGCTGCTCAGATTGCCGTGCAAAAAGATGACGTCCGCGCCCACTGGGGGGACGTCGTGCGCCCCCTCTACTCGCACAAAGAGGTGCCCTGCTTTTTGGTGGCCTTCGTGCGCCGCCCGGCAGGCCTTGCAGCGGCAGTCCGTCCAGCGAATGGGGTAGCCCCCCTCCTGGCGAGCGCTGCGCTGATCCACGATGTACTGGCTGCCTTCGCGAACCAAGGGGCGCCCGGACGCACCAGGAGCAGAGAGGGCAAGGCCACCTGCAGACAGGGGCAGCCTCACGCAACTGAAATGTTGGCCTGGTCTCACACCGGGGGGGGGTTTGCGACAGAAGGCCACCTCGAGGAGTCTTGATGATGCAGGTGTGCGATGCCACAGAGACCATTTGGATCTAACAAATGTTATCTTCGCACAGCTTGGAATGATGGGGAAAGGGTGCCTCACCAACTTCCGACTTGAGCCCCCAGCAGCCGCAGTCTTGCCCCTGCGAGCGGTAGAGCACCGCCTGCCCCGCCTGGTGCGAGGCCTGTTTGCAGCGGCATGATGTGTCCGCACATGAAGGCAGCAAAAAGGCATCAAGCCACCGGAGCAGCCACCCTAGGACGACATCAGCGACGTCCAAAGCCAAGAACACCGCAGAATTCACCAGGCGAAGCAAAACGCCCATCTGACGGACGGCGACCATTGCGCGCCTGACGTCTGCAAGAAGCGGACCTGTCCACCTCGTACTGTCTAATACTGCCTCACCCGGCCCGCAGCTCAAAGCCAGCCCTTGGGCCTCCGTCCCCCAACGAATCGCCACTGCCAAGCTGCCACAAGCTGCCAATGAACCTGCTGCGGCTCAGGAAGTCAGCCGTGACTCTTGAGCCTGAGGCCGCCTTGATCGAACCTCGAGTGCCCATCATTAAATAGAAACCTGGCGAATACAGAAGTTCGGCGCCCGCCTTTTATGGAGTTCCAGATTCCAGGGTCTAGCCGACCACTATTAGTACTCTCAACAGTGAACACACGTGCCTGGACCGAGTCCCCAGCCTCAGGCCCGGATCAAAGGTCCCTGCCTTGACAGTTCCGACCGGAGGGGGGCCGCTGGAATCCCCGGGTTCTGAGTCATGACTGGCCTGACTCTATAAAACTGCCCCTCCGGTCGGAACTGTCAAGGCCTTTGATCCGGGCCTGGGGACTCGGTCCAGGCACATGTGTTCACTGTTGAGTGGCAGTGTTGCCAGTGTTGACACTCGAGAGTACTAGGTACCTAATAGTGGTCGGTTAGACCCTGGAATCTGGAACTCCATCAAAAGCCACGTACCGTACTTGGCAA